CACGGCTGCCCCGAGATCCACTCTTGCTCCCCCCTCGTTGAGCTGGTACTCATCGGGGCCACAGGTCTCCCTCCACCTGCCCGAGTCTCTCCTGGCCGACTCTCCGTGGAGGACTTGCGGCTCGCTTTTGAGGAGCTGAATTCTTACTTTACTTTCAATTAGTTCAAACAGCCACACGGGGCTAGTGGTTCTTGTCACGGAAGGTGTGGCCTTCGGGATATTAATATGGTGGCTTAACTGGGCTATCTGTTTCTGTTTGTCTCTTTACTAAGAGGAGGTGTCAGGGCAAGGCTAGGGGACACTCTGGGAGGAGACTGAAGAGGAAGAGCCACTGTGGTGAGCAGGAGTGGGGCTGGCCAGGGCACAGATCAGGAGGCCGTGCAGCATGGGGACAGGTGAGACCGGAGACCTGCAGGCTGCAAGGCTGGGACGCGCCGCTCCAACTGAGGGCCTTGTGCAGGGCAGTGGTCAGTCAGAGAAGTCCTGGCTGGAAGGGCGGCTGCCCGAGCCACAGCCAGAGCATCTGCAGTGGCCATGAGCCCAGGGAGAGAGCCTCGAGGACCAGGGGCCATGGGAAGGCTGCCAATGGACTGGGACACAGTGCAGCCAGGGGGTCTGCCAGTCGTGGTGAGGACAGAGCTGACTAAGCAGGGTGTGGGGGCTGGGAGGAGGGCAGTCAGAGACCCCCTGGGATGCGGTGGGACGATATGAATCAGCAAAGGGGCAGATCTGAGGAGCCCGGGAATGGGTGACCTCAATGAGCAGGGTCAGGATGGAGGTCTCGGAGCGTGCCATGCATGTGCTCTCCCAGGGTACCCTGGGGTGGGCTGGCCCTTGACCCACTGCTCTCTGTACTGGTCCCAGGGTGGGCCGGGCAGCTAGGAGGCAATGTGGGAAGAGACAAGCTTCCCACATTGAAGCTTTTGGGGAGGGACTGGGATGGTGGGGACAAAGGGTGTGGGTGCATTCTCCCTTCTTAGTGGAGCCCTGCTTCTTGGGGAATCTGTGATGAGTCCGATGACACTAGGATATAAGTACCTGTGTGGTTCAGCACGGTCCCTGTGGAGGGTCCCTTCATCCTGAAAGAGGACCTGTTACACCAAAGCTCTGCCCAGAGGCAAGGGCCGCATAGCACTGTGGCAACAGTGTGGGCAGGAATGGGGCCTTTCCTGACTCCACAAAGTGTCCCCTCTGCAGAACTGGCTGGACTCTTAGGGGACACAGTCCTGCAGAGGGCAGGCTCCGTCCTTGGCCCTGTACTCTGGTCCTCCATGGGGAGGCTGCACCTAAAACCCTCTCACCTTCATGCTGTCCCCAGGGGATGCCTGTGACATGAGACCCGAACTAAATGCAAAAAAGGAGAAGGACTAAAGAGTCGTTTTCCAACAGCGCAGAGTCCCCTTTCCAAGGAGCATTTCTGGCGCCGGCTCCAGAAGTAGGTGTGGCCTGCTCCAGAAGTGGGTGTGGCCTGCTCCAGAAGTGGGTGCGGCCTACCACCAGCCTTCCTGGTGTCCTCCACCTGGCTCTCCTCCCTGCCATTGTCGTCACCATGGTCAAGCCCGCTCCCCAGGGCTGGGTCTTTGGATGCAGCTGGTCCCTCCCCTGGGTGAACCGGGGACATTTCCTGGTTTGCAGGAGAGCACAGGCTGAGACTGTCAGAGAGAGGAGCTGCCCCTTTGAACTGGGTCTCTTCCCCCCACCCCACTGGAGCCTTCTCCCCAGGTGAGCCACAGGTGCCAGTCAGCACATTCGGCAGGAGGCCCGGGACTGGAGGGCCAGGAGAGGGGACAAAGTTGATTCTGCCCTCAATCATTCTCCTGATGCCAGTGGCCTTAACCTCCCAGCTTTGTACCTCTGAGATCATTCTGAGTCTTTGGCCCACAGTCCTGTGTGCTGGAGGGGAGCAGGAATACTGGGGCACCCAGTGCAGCAAGCAGGGCTCCCAGGTCCCCAGTCACTTAGGACGGCGCCTGCCTGGGTCTGCTCTGAAGCAAGATGGCTGCCCCTGCCGGCTGCAGGCAGAGCTCTTCCCAGGGCTCAGCCAGCAGCACCCAGCACCCAGGAGCTGCAGCCCAGAGAATCCCTGCCCGTCCTGCAAAAGAAAGCTGCCCAGGTTGCCCGGGGAGCCACAAGACTGGCTGTGCATGGGTTGCCAGGAGAGCACTGCTAGACTGGCCTTCCACTCCTGGGCGTGACCTCTGCCTGCTGGTGGCCACAGGTCCTCCCTGGGGGCTTTACTGGGGAATGGGTCAAACAGTCTGGAGAGAGCACAGGCCTCACCAAGGGGATAGGATGCTGGGTACCAGGTCTCACACCACAAGGCCTTGGCTCCTCTGGCACATTAGGGATCTGGACGAGCTCATTTGTCACTGGCTTTGACAGAGGAGATGATCAGAGGTGCGCTGCCTGACACCATGGGGACAGGTGTGGGCATCACTGCCAGAGCCCACCCGACACCCATCCCTGCAGCTGGACACTCACATGAAGGGGAGGGAGGGACACTGAGCAGCCACCTGACTGACTCATCTCTGTTCATTTTGTAAATATGGAAAATCAACATTTTTTCCTGGTTGATTGCTTTTGAATTGGTCTGGCAAAGGGGCTTCTTGGCGTACTGACTCCCTGGCAGACTGTCCCTGGGCCCTCACAGTGAGTCTCTAGGCATGTCACAGCCCTTAGGCTCTTTCCCGGAGGCAGATGGTTTGTTGTGCGACCAAATCGACGTCACAACTTTCCACCATCTTTGTTCTGCCAACTGCCATGGCAGGTTCTCTGGGCAGGTCCAGGAGTTCATTGTCCCTTCTAGAGAATGTCAAATACATCAAAAGCTCAGCTGGACATTTCCTGAGTCGCTAAGTTTCTTCCTGCCACTTACTCAGGGTCCTCTGAGGACCGGGGTCCTCACTCAGTCCTCTGTGATTCAGAGATGAAGGAATCAGGAACCAGGGAGCACCACAGAGGCCCCAGGGGACCCGGGGAAGAGCCGCAGAGCATGGGGCACTGGGCAGCGAGACACAGATGACAGTGTTGAGCCTGGTGAGGTGGCAGGTTAACCCTGGTGACAGATTGCGGGGAGGGGCTTGTTATTTTAAAATGATCTTGAGTGTCATTAGAGACTTGTACAGCTCTAGCCAGCTGGTCTGCAGACCCAGTTTGGGTGGTGAGAAGCCGGTCTTGCTCCTGTCCGAGTGTCAGCATGACCCAGACTGGGCAGAACTGAAGCCACACGGTCTGACTCGGTGGTGCCCATCTGCACGCCTTGTGAACATGGTTCTGGGCCTGCCACTCCTGGGGTCAGCTGGAAAGTGTCAGGGGGCTTCTCGGGGGCAGAGGCTGCTCTACTTTTGTGGCACACTTCAGACAAAACCAAGAGGAAGAAAGGCGGGCGGTCCAGCACCACACCCTCCACTGCTGGTGTGATTCTCACCCACCAAGGGTGTCACCCGCTGGGTCTGGATCTGAATGGTAAGGGCCCCGGGAGCTTCAGTGTTCTTGACCTTGAGGCTGACCTTCCCTATGTGGCCTCCCTGCACACTTACACTCTAACACGAGCTCTGGGGTGTGATAGCATTTGGGCTGGCTGACAAGCCCATTCCCTAATCACATGGCCTCCAGAAGACAGCAGTCAGCCAACTGCACTGCCCTGACCTGCTCATTCTGAGCCAATGGCAAAGAGACCCCTCTGCGGCCGGCTCAGCAGGAGACGGGTCCTCAGGCCCCTTCCCTGGGTGGGAGCACCGACAGGTTACCTGGGTGGCTCTGCTCTGCAGTGTGAAATGACCCATGGAGCATGGAATCAGGAAAGACTGATGTCAGACAGAGTGCCCTGCATGAGAGAGTGTGGGACCTCTGCAAAACCACTTTGCATGACCACCACTGAAGGAGGGGAGGGCCTCACCAGAGTCCCTGGAGACACAGCGCCTGCCTGGGACGCCTCTGGTTCCCTCCTTCTGCTCCTGGAGAGCGGGGAGCCCCTTCCCCTGCATTCTACCAGCTGCCATTTAAAATAAAGGCCAACAAGAGCCAGGCCTGCGCTCAGATGGGGTGAGAGCCATCCCCTGGGAAGGCAGCTCCTCCCATGAGGAAAGGCCAGGGTGTCCGTGGGCGGAGATGACAGTCAGTCCTCCCTTGGGCACAGCCTGCAGACTCAGGCAGAGAGCCAGTGCTCCGGTTAAAACATCCAGAGGACATCTGAGCTTTCTATAGACCAAATAGAAAAGACAGGAAGGGCTTCGGACTGTGGGCAGTGGGCCAGCAGAGGCTGGCGGGAGGAGGCAAAAGGGAAGGCCCCAAGACCCAGTTCTGCCCTTGGAGAGAGGGCAGGGCCTGCAGCTCTGGGTCTCTTGGCTGTTGGAGGAGTGGGGTCAGGCCTGCAGCGCACCAGGCTTGGGCTGGCCTGTGGCTGCACAGCAGGATGGGCCCTCCCCAGAGGCCAGCCCTGGGAGCTGGACAACTATGCAAACCCAGAGAGGACAAGCAGCAGGATCGCTCTGAGGGGCGGCACTGACCAGGTCGCTCCCCATAAAGGCCTGCGTGGGTGGGGCTAAGCTCTGCTGTCTTCCTTTGGTGATTCTGGACCAGATTCCCCTCCTGGCAGCTCCTTCCCAGTCTGCCTCTTAGCCTTGTGCTGAGGTCAAGTGCCCTGGCCTCACTCCCCCTGAAGCCCTCCCTCCTGGTGGCTTCCTGCAGCACCCCTCCCCCACCCCAGCTTTCAGTACTGAAGTAGGTTGAGCAATGGCCCCCACCACAGCATCCACATCTGGGTCCCCAGAAGCTGCAGATGCCATTCTGCAAGGTGACAGGGACTCTGCAGGTGTGATTAAATTAAGGCTCTTGAGATGTGAAGATCTTCTTGGATGTCTGCATGGGAAACCCTAAGTGGGAATCACATGTGTCCTTAGAGGAAAGAGGGAGGAGAGAGGGAGGGCAGGTGGGGAGGGAGAGAGAGAGGGGAGGGAGAGGGAGAGGGGAGGGAGAGAACAGTGGGGTGGGGGGCATGCCATGCTGGAGGACTTGGAGAGGAGGAAGGGCAGCCGGGCAAGGAATCCAGGCCCTTCCAGACCCTGGAGCAGGCCGGGAAGTGGCTTTTCAGACAGAACCACTTCTGTGGACATCCTGCTTTTAGGCTTCTGACCTCCAGAAAATACCGAGTCCTTCTCTGGCAGCCCCAGGGAGCGACGGCGCCATCCGCACGGCAGAGCTCTCCAGCTCCCCAGGGTGTGTGCCCAGTCGCCGCCCACTCCTCCACTTGGTACCTGGTAGGCACCCGACTTCAGCTCGTCCGAAAGCCCTTCCTGGTTTTCCAGAACCTGCTCCATCTGTGCCCTCCCAGCTGAGTCGGCCTCAGCTCCGTGCCCTCGGGGAAGCCCGCACAACCTGGGAGCTGCCCTGGACTCCTCCCTGAGGACACCGAAAAGCCAGATGCCCTCATGGTAATGACGAGGATCCTGAGGCCCCAGAGTGAAGCCATGTCCCACCTCCCAGCTTCCGTGCAATGCCACTCACCCTGCACCTCTGGCCTTGCACCCACCCAGGAGTGGCCAGGTGACAGCGCCCAGGGCCGTCAGAGGACCAGGGCTCGTGGCCCGACACCGACACTCACTCTAGTCTCTCTTCTTCTCTCCTCCGCAGGTCCAAGTCCCGCTGCACCACCGCCCAGATGTGCGCCGCCTCCTCATCGGTGAGCTGGGAAAGGTCCAGCTTTCGCCCCATCTCTGCCTCTGGTCTGAGTCACACCTGGAACGTCACAGGGTCACAACTGGTCAGCCCCAGGAAGCCCACAGATGCCACCCGAGTCCTAGAGTAAGAGGAGGGACAGCAACGTTTCCTCCGAGTGTCTCGCAGTTTCCTGCCTGGAAATTGGTGTCACCTAATAAATCCTGCACAGTTCACCAAATCTAAGTGAGTCCCTGTTTACAGTGTCCACACAGGACACATGCAGGGCCACTGACATTCTCTTCCCACAGGGAGACAACTTCACGCTTCTCCATCCCGGGGCGCGGCTCCCCTGCTGGGTGAGGGCCTTGCAATGCGGCCCCCAGGCTTCCCAGGGAGAGGGTCCCTTCTCCACATCCTCCCAGGCTCTGGGGGTGGGGGCTGGGGGCTGATGGCCAGGCCGGAAGCGTAAGGAGACACACAGCATCTGTGAGGGTCGCTGTCCTCTGACGTGGGGGGTTCTATGGCTGGATTAGAGGTTGCTTAGACTGTGAGCCCTGGCCCCATCAGTCCATCCTAGTCTGAGCGGACTGACTGGGTGGTAGCTGTGGGTGCGGCTGGAGGAGGTGGTTCTGTGGGAGCTGCCCTGCAAGTGGGCACCTTCCCTGCAGCCCGTGCCCTCTCTGTTTCCTGACTGAGCTGAGCAGATTCCCCCCACGGGGCCCTTCTGCCAGGACGTGCTGCCCCGCCTCAGGCCCCGAGCAGTGGGGTCGCTGTCTGAGGTCCCAACTGTCCCAATGCACTCTCCCTCCTCTAAGCTATTCTAGTCAGTGTTTTGATCCCAGTGACAAAGCTGATAAAAGCTTGCTCCCCAAGGCTTGTCACTTGGTAGGGAGGTTCCTGGGGTCACCCAGCATGATGCCCGCATGAGGGCGTTGTGCTGGAGTTGGGGACATTGACAGGCACTCCGTGGTGAGGCAGAAGTGGCTCAGGTAAGGGAGAGGCAGACCCGTGGGCAGGTGGCCAGGGCAGCCAGCGTTGCCTGCTGACAGAGGTCAGCTGAGGGAGGCCGCCCCACAGGAACTCCGGCCCTGGTGTACGTGAGGATGACCTACACGTACCCATGGCCAACTGCTGCCCTCAGGGGCCTGAAAACCCAGTCCCCCTCACTGTGCTGGGGCTCTGTGTCTAGATGACCCACAAACTGGAAAGTCAAACTTGAGACTTTGAAATTTGCCACACCTGATCCCCATCCACGTCAAAAAGACACAGAAAAGAAAATACAAATGTCAGAAACCAAGATAAGCAGAATGTTAGAAACTCGTTTGCAATTCAAAGTGTGGTCAGCAGCCTGCAGCATCCCCTGGGAGCGTGTTAGGAATGCAGGTTTCCGGGCCCACCCAGCCAGACTGGCTCAGAATCTGTATTTTGACAAGGTCCCTGGGCAGTTTGCACAATAGAGCTGGCCAATGCTGCTGGTCCTCAGGCCCCTCCGGGTGGCAAAGCTCCAGGGGAGACCTACGCACTCAAGCCACAGAGGACCTTGGTCTGTGGACTCAGGGGTGGGCCATGGGCACGGGACAGGCCAGGGGTGGCAGTGGTGGTGGCTGAGCAGAGGACAGTGCTCTTGCTGGCTTTTCAGACCACACTGCTACTGGGTAGAACACAGGAGGCGTCCCGGTGGAGGGAGGAGGGAGGACCCTCCTGGGGACACTGCAAGGCTCCTCCCACTCCCCTACAGAGGCTTCCCAGCCCTCTCCACTCCTTCCCTGTCCCCTGCCCCATGCACCCTGTCTCTCCCTTTCTTTATACCTCCTAACGTGGTGCCAGACAAGTTACTGTTAAACTCGGTGGGGACAGTGTCTGTCTGTGCTGGGCACACAGTGGGTGCTTTCCAAGCCCCCAGCACAGAACTCCGCTGCAGACCTGCAGAGGAGCCCTGTGACCCGAGGTCCTGCTGTGACAATCAGACCAACTGGGCTCCAGGCACTGGGAGTCCCAGGGAAGATCACATTAGGATGACCCCAAAAGCCTGTGGTGGATGACCAGAGTCCAGAAACCCAGCATGTGACTCAGCAAGCCTTTCTTGAGGACATCAAAGAAGGCGCGTAGTCAGTGCCCTTCCAGCGGGAGCTGGGGACCCACAGAGACCAGCTCTTGCTTTGAATCTCGCCCAGCATCCGGCTCCTGCACCACCGCACGCGTACCAAACGTTCTGAGAAAACCTTAAAAGCATTTGCCTCGCCCCAGAAATGTACTTGGATTTGGTCACACAAGAGGTCCATCATGAAAAGCGACATTGTCCAGCATATATTATTTAAAATGAAAATTTTCAGAGGTCCATGGCTGCCAACCAAAATATTTTAGAAAAAAAAATGTGTCTTAAAACTGGTGGAAAATAATTTCTTAAAACTGTTGCCACCACACCACAAAGTTTCTAAGCTCCATGCCGACGGTGAGAAACTCACCGTGGTCGGGAGCAAACTGCACATTGCCAGGGGACCTCAGATTCTAGACAGGAAAGTGCGCAGTGGAAAGCCAGCATTCCTGATGCTCCCAGAACACATGGCGTCTGGCTTCCAGAAGTGAACAAACAGTTCTTATCTGATGCATGACTGGGGCTTATTCATTTTGGGAAAAAAAAAGTATCATAAGGAGAGCATTCATTGAGATTCTATTTTCAGAACGGAGGAGCAGCGTGACCCTCAGATGAGGAGTCCTTATTCTCTCTCCTCCTAAAGTAGAAGTCAAAATTCCAGGCCTTGATACAAGAAGCTTATGTCCTCAAGTGTGAGGAAGAAAAGAAAAAAAACCAAAACCACCAGAAAGTGCATGTTTCTTGTCCTGCAAACTCGCCTTTTCCAGAGGGAGGCCAAGGTCACAGCTCCTCAGAACTGACCCCCAGGGCTGCCCACTGCACACTGAGGAGGTCCGTCCTCTCTGTCCCCGTGCAGCCTGTTTCTTCTCCTCTGACGCCTGTTCCTCATAGGATGACCCCAGAGGCCTGTTCTGGATGACCAGAGGCCAGAAACCCAGCGTATGACCTCAGCAAGTCTTTCTTGAGGACTGAAACCCATTTCTCAGCCAAATAGCAAAGATCCATGAAGCCAGGAACTGCGACAGAGGGGTCAGGGAGCCTGCAGGCTAGGGAGGGACTGGACACCTGTGTTGAGTGGGCCCTGCCAGAATGGGGCAGGGGAAGGGTCCAGGCCGGTGCTAGGACATCAGAGTTGGCCTAGAGCGAGGCTGGGGGCGGCATCCTGTTGGGACGTGGGTGTGAACCAGCGTGGCCTGGGGGGCAGCAGCCTCTATGACTGGTGGCAAAGCATGTCCTGGAGGCTCCAGCAGTGGCCCTGAGTTCAAGGACACATACACACTGTGCTGTTTACACCAAACCCGTGCGGTTTCCATTCAGAATTTGAAAAGCACGCACCCCACACGGCTAAGCCAAGAGCAGTGTGTTGGCGCCTCTCAGGCAGGGAGTCCCCTGGAGGGTTCTGCTCGAGTGCTAATTCTTAGCTCCGGCCTCGTGCCCTGGTGAGGGGAGCTGCAGGCCGGGAGGCCAGGGAGCCTCTGCAAGCTTCTCTGATGGCTGTGCCTGCTCCAGGGGCCCTGCTGGTTCAAGCACAGTTCCCGGACAGAGAGTGGTCGAGAGCCAGTGTTCCCAGCAGAAGTCCTCCCCTTGATGAACTGGGGCCATGCAGCAGCTGGACACTTTAAAAAGTCAATCTCTAGATAGAGAGCAACCTCAAATCAGATGGACAAGAGGTTCCACTGTAGCATTTAAAATGCACAACCAAGTCGGTGGCATCTGGGGGACATATTGCTAGCCCCCTCTGCCTGTCCCAGGCCAGCTCAGGTTGAGGTCACTCGAGTGTGGTAGGGGCATCCCCCACCCCCACGGTCAGGCTTACCACAGCCTCAGCAGGTCGTGCTCCCCTGTGGCCCCCGAGGCCTGGGTCTGTATCCGGCACCTGTCCACCCACAACTGTCAAGGGGCACCGGCCAGGGAGGTGCTAGGCCTGTGTGGTGCAGAGCTGCTCTGAGCCGCCCTGCAGGGAGGGCTGATGGGCGGGTGCTGGCGCCGCGGGACGCCGCCGGGCTGTTTCGTTCTGCTTCTGTGCAGATAACCCCTAGTCACGAGGTTCCTGAACCAAGACACTTTCAATGTGCGTGTGCTGCACTCATCAGAGTTAACCCTATTTCCAATCGTGGAGACGTCCGTCTTCTCCAATGGTTTAGTGGTCTGAGTGGAGAAGAGGGAGGTGACCTGGGGACAGACCAGCAGGAAGGAGAGAGCGGAGCTGGAATGCACAGCCTCGACTCAGACCACTGAATGTCAAGGGCTTGTCATGTCCAAGCACTAAAGGCTGCAATTCATATTTTGGTCGAATCGAAGGGAAATCTCTAATGGTGTTTCTCCTAGCAAAGGCCTGGCTTGGTCAAGTCTGGGGCTTGCCGCCTCCAGGAACTGGAGGACACTGACTTTGAGTGGGCACCCACCCAAGCAAACATAAACTAGAAAGTCAAAGTCCCTCATTAAATGCTGGGCTAACAATGGCAGGGCATTTGCCAGCCGGTGGCAAGGTGTATGGTGTGGCTGTGTTCTTGCTGACACAGGTGTGGGCAGAGGTACCATCTGTGGTGCCCTCTGCCTTTATCCTTTGTAGCTTTCCCAAATTATGTCCTCACAGCTGGCCTCTGTGGTCACTTCTGTGGGCAGGGCCTGATGCCCACTGCTAAAATGAAAGCCCAGCCTTCCTCAGCAGCAAAACGAGCGCGTTTCCACCCAGAGGGCTGCTCCCTGCCCTGCAGGGCACCAGGCTCCAACTCTGGAGTGGCTCATGCAGGTGGCTGTCCTGCAGCTCAGCTGCCCACCCACCCTGTCCATTCTCTCTGTTCCCCAGCTCTCTGAGAGTTTCTCACTTGTCCACAGACATAGGTTCTGCACCTCTAAAGCCTTTGCTCCCATCTCTGCAGCGAGTCCAGACCCAGGCAGCCTTCCCTGCCACTGCGGACAGATTCCTTCTCCTTCCAGGGTCTCAGTTTCCTCAACTGTTCTGTGGACAATGGTCAGGCTCCATGACCTCTCTGCCCTCTAGCCCAGTGTGCTGCTAGGATGTCAAAATTAAGAGAAATCATGATGGGGTGGGGGCAGCAGGTGGGTAGGTGGGCTCTTCTTCAGAAGTCAGCCATCCCTGAAGCCTCCCCAGCCTCCCAGACCAGGGCACATCTGGGCCA